ATCTTCATAATTTTCTACTTAATGATAATTTCATCATTATCACAACTGCCACTCAGTCTTATGCAGTCACTGTTCCAAGTTCACTTATATGATTTCAATAACTTTAAAGCATGTGTTAAAGTGACTCACCTGCTGGGTGTATCCGGTTCGTTCTGCAATGGCGTGCAATCTTCTGGACACCCCCTTCACTGGAATGCACATGAGAATGGTAGTTATTGCCAGTATTTCTTGCAATTGTCAAAGGTATTTCATTGATGCAGATATCCGGTTTTAGCTGCATGTATAACACTCACACGCTCGGATAGAATTCCTCCTCACAAACGGAGGATTGGTGACGACGTCCGTTTTATTCATGGCCATTTGTTCCATCTTGGAGGCAGCTGATGATGCCCCTTTCGAGATGGCTGAAGGAGTGACCAAGAAGTGAAGATGTGACTCTTGTTTTTGACATCATGTTGTCTGCAGCTTGTCAAAGATATTGTGTCTTATCAATGTTGGTATAGAACTTACCTTTGGTAATGCCTGAAGGGCGCTCGTCTTCTAACCTGGCGTTTTCCTGTATTATTCGTGCAAATAACTCATGCTGAGCTCGCCTGACTGTTGTCGGCACCCTTACGCCAACTGCTCGGCCTGTCCGGATAAAACGTGTAATCACAACAGATATAGTGTATAAGCGCCAAGGATTTAGCAAAACTATGATACGTAATTATAACTCACACCTACATGTACACATGATAACTATTTGTCAATATATGCTTTTGAACAAAGAAAGAGTTAGTTGAATAAATGGTTAAATAAAAAATCGGAGATAATAACAATCAGGCTTTCCCGCGGTCTCCTGGAAAAGGTAGACTCCATTTTCCGTCCGCAAGACCAGCGTCGACTTCTTGCTGAGGGCCGACCGCCACAGGGCATCCCCCACGAAAACGGTTAGACCTTCGCCAATGAGCCACGTCTTTTTGGTGTCTGTCGCAGGATGGAGAGTAAGAAGAAGAATTAATGTTAAGAATATAATGGTGATATAATGGTAGCGAGAAGGGAATTATGTGAAGGTCCGATACGCTATTAAATTACCTATATACACTAAAAACCTGTAATAGGCATCAGTGATGGCGATAATGCCATCAGTGCAGTGCACTTTCACAATCAATATTCTAATATCAGTAATAAAAAGTAATAGATTTCAGTAGCAAGCGGTCTATGAAGGTCAAACATGACTATAAACATTAATGCAAATAACCAGTAGTATTGATGGAAACTACAGTAACAAGTAAAAGGTAAAAGGGGGATAGGGAATATGGTAAGCTAATTGGGAAGATCGTGCAGTAAGTTAAGTAGCCTTTGGTAATAAGAACAAACAGGAACCTATATATAATTCAGGTGATTTGGGAGATGAGATATGACGAAGGAGAGAGATTACAAACAGACAGATCTCGAAGAAATAGGATAAAATCATGGTGATGCCATAGTAACTTGTGATTGTAAAAATAACCTAGAGAGACATACAAATAGATAACATTTAATGACAATGCCATGAGAAGGTACCAAAACATCTGCAGTGAATGAATAGAATGAGTATCAAAAGTTAGTGCTATGTACTACGGTATATTCATCGATTACTAGAGGATAACGAACAGTAACTTTAAAGTATCAGGATGCAAGCGAATTTATTATTTCACACGATAACGTACAGTATACGAGTTTAAGAACGCAAGCTTGTGTTGATGCGATAACGAGGTCTTGAGATGTATTTCTGTTGAGTAATTACCTGTTGCTACCGAACTCCTTCATGAATATTTCTACTGGATCGTTAACGTCATTATTTTGGCTCCACGCTTATTCTTCTGATTAATTTTAAAGATGCCTTCTTCGCAAGCATTAAATTTCAAAATCAATTTTAAGAGCATATCAAGTATAAATACTGTTATTCTGACCTTTAAGTATGGAAAGATATGGGCGGTTCCATGGTGACGTCACGATGCTGTCGTCATGGATGAAGAATATCTTGACTCCCTCGCGGATCCGCAGCAGCTCGCGTGAGTCAGAGCGGAAGGAGCCTTGGCCGAGGTGCGGGCTGGGGGGCACGGCGGCAATGGGGGGGGAGGACGCAGAAGCCCCTGCCACTGGCTCTGGCGTGGTGACCTGCCAAGAAGGTAGATCCATTTGCATTAAGATGGAACTCTTTCTTCTTCTTCTCTCTCTCTCACTCTCTCTCTCTCTCTCTCTCTCTCTCTCTCTCTCTCTCTCACACACACACACACACACACACACACACACACACACATACATGCATAAAAAATCATGTGCTTAATGCACCATTTGCAGGTGCGTAGTGTGAATGCATATCTGGCTAATGTTTGAACCAGACAAACTAATACAGCTGTTTACGTTACACAAATTTCACAGCTATCATATCAGGTTAATTATCATCATATACTTCACTATATCTCACCCAATTTGTAATTCTTATATTCAATCAAATACTTGATTTCATAAGAGAGATGGTTAAAGGCAGCCATTGTAAAGAGAGACTCACCTGGCTGTTAATTGGAGAGGAATAGAACTTGGACCTTCCAACACCCGTTTCAAGAGGTTCAGGTTCCCAAGGAGTCCATGATTCCGCGGCGAAAGGAGTCAGCGGAGGGGGAGATGAAGAGGCACTGGAAGCCCACGATCCCGCAGAAGAGGACACAGAGTATCTGGCCCTGGCATTGGCGTAGATATGTTGGTTACCTTGACGTGCTGAGTAATGGGTTGATACCTCTGACACTTTCTCTGTGATATTTCGGGAATCGAAATTACTATCAAATTCATCATAGTGTTCCGAGGAGCTATCTTCCATCTCTCGGAGCAATTTCCTTGGTTCTGCGTAGTATGGCTCGTTTGCAATGTCCTCTTCAGTCATTCCATCAGGACAATCCTCGCCATCAGAATAATGAGCTGAATCTGAGTTGGCCGGAATGGACTCGGGGGGTTCAGCTGATGGTTCAGACAGAGGATCGAACTCATCAATGATAGACGCTCTGCTGGCGCATATATTCGCTGACTGGAGATACATCCCCAGAGTGTTATAGGAGCAGTCTAAAAGTGTATCCTCGGACCTACACCGAGAAGCTTTAATGGACGAGTTGGATCTCTGAGGGGAAACTCTCGCGTGGCCTGGCGTTTGGGAGATGGCAAAGTCAAGGGCATCCAGGAGTGTTTCCCTTTGTTCGTCTGTGAACGAGTCGCGTGATTCCTCTTCTTCATCCTTGGCGGTTTTAGAATCATGTGGCTGTAGCTTATCTCCCGGCACAGCGATGGGCTTCAGAGGGGTGTGGAGGCGATCAACCTTTCTGTGAGGTCTGTTGTCCACTTGAACGTCTAATGATAACTGTTTGTGTTCTGCATCTTTGTTGATGGTAATAGGCAGAGAGGAAAATTCTTCAGGAAATAGATATTTGTCGTTTTCATCTTTTGGTGTAAACGACGCGAATGGATCTATATCAGCAAAAGGATCAAGGACTTCTGTAGGTGACTTAGAAGTTATAGAAGGACTTCCAGATACCAGATCTGAAGGTCCCCTAGATTTATTTTCACCCTCAGTCAGACTTAATTTTTCGAAATCACTCTCGACTGAACTGCTTATATCACATTCCTGTGCAAGGTCATCAAAGGCACCATCAATATTATCATTTGCGTTTGGTAGTTTATGATCAGTTCTATCATTTATGTTCTGTAATTTATGATCACTTTCATCATTTATGGCAGGTTGTTTATTTGGTTGTGCATTTACAAAAGCTTTGGTTGTATCTTCTTCACCCATACTGTTGTCACTCAAGCTTGTCAGGCTTTGGCGTAAGGAGAGTGGCTTGGTTGTTTCATCAAGCTTTATAGAATCACACTTCTTAGGCACAGATATTTGGGATTCAGAAAAAGTAGCTCCACATTCATTATCCATTTTCTTATTGTCTAGATGTTCTACGACTTCTGTTCCCTTGTTAGTGGTACTTTGTGTGGAATTAGCGGCAATAATACCATCTTTTGCACGAGGTGCCGATTTGTCTTCCGGGTCAAACTCTTCTTGCAAATTTGGTTCGGGCAACGACAAATCAAGATCCCCGGCCGGCAGTTGGAAAGATATATTTGACAGGGGTGACAGGTCACCCGGCTGAATGCAAGATTTTGGTCTTGATCTTACAGATGGTCTCACTGGAACTTCCTGCACTGCGCGGGGTGGATAGTGAGATTTTGGCCGAGGATATGACATTCGCGCAGGAACCAGAGGGCGGAGCTCCACTGGTGCTGTTGTGCGAGATGGGAAGTGCTGGGAAAGCTGGTGATCATCACTCAAATCCACCAGCATCTCAGTCCTCAAGTCACCATCCGTAAGAGAGAGTGAGCGCTTGTGTGATAAGCCTGGGTTTTGAGGCCTCCTTGACGGTGAATGCGAAGGAGGGTCATGGGCAGGGTGAGTCACACTGCGATCATAGGGAGGACGGTGCGCCGTGGATCTGTTTTGTGAAACATTCGGCACACGACGGGGTCCGTGTGGGCGCGGTTGATCTCGAGATGGATGTTGCAAAGATTGAGGTTCTCGGGTGCGAACGCTAGGAGGCGCAGGCTGCTCCTGGGGCTGGCGGGGTTGAGGTGGTCGCGGCTGAGGGCAACGTGCAGGGGGTTGCTGACGTCCCGAAGGACGGATAGACGGGGGTCTTACCGGAATTGATGGACGCAAACCTAAAGAACATCGGAGACCATCACAAACTTTCACAGAGTAATTATTCACAGCGCATTATTTCTGATATCAAAATTCAGCAAGGAGTCATCATCAAAAGAGACCCACAATGAAAGACCATTCTGTGGGGGGGAAATATATGTCCAGAAAAGAAATTACGCATCTGTCATGTTTCTTATTAAAATCATCAGTTATCCAGTCTATGCATACATAGGTAGATGGAAAAAAAGAAAAAGAAAAACTTTGCCAAGAGTTCCAGTGGTAATATGAGAAAGACGGACGACTTACCTGAGGTTCGCTGTTGATCTTCCCGTATTACGTCATCGTACGTGGGCGGTGCCCCGGGGGTGGTGCTCTCCGCAAGCATCTCGCGGGGCGCCGCCACTGCCGCCTGCGCGTCACTGAAGCCGTTGAGAGCCTCTTTCCTTGAATGATGACAGAAAATTTTGGAGAAAACATGAAAGGAATTTCATGCCGCAAAGGCTAAATCAAATATTTCTCTTTAGTAGTACAGGTAACATCATGAGAGAGAGAGAGAGAGAGAGAGAGAGAGAGAGAGAGAGAGAGAGAGAGAGAGAGAGAGAGAGAGAGAGAGAGAGAGAGAGAGAGAGAGAGAGAGAGAGAGAGAGAGAGAGAGAGAGAGAGAGAGAGAGAGAGAGAGAGGAGATGGTGAGGAGGCACTGCTTAGGCAGTAACAATCTAAAATTCCTAATAAACAACGTCTTCGCAGTGGAGTGCAGTGCTTTACCAAGAGGAGCAAACAGCAATTGCAAAAGACACCGGAAGTACGACTTATTATATACTTAATATCAGGCGTAGACGTACAGCTATCATATGACTGGCAAACTTACTCAATAATGACATGTAGGAACACATGATAAGAGGTTCATTATGGTGCAGCATAATGAGATTAAAGCTAGTCTCTTGCATTATGATCAAGGGCTTACATTGGGTGGAACGTAAAGCTCTTTATAGATGTATAGATAATTAGAACTGTGACTCCGACAAGGTTTCATATTATCAACTTATCAAAGTGTTGTTCCTTGAAGATATCATTGCGTCACTAAGCTGATCATGGGAGCAAGATAAACGGGATGCTTTCTCTTTCTCTGTCTATTTATTTGTACTCTCTCTCTCTCTCTCTCTCTCTCTCTCTCTCTCTCTCTCTCTCTCTCTCTCTCTCTCTCTCTCTCTCTGTAGGTGTGTATGTGTGTGTGTGTGTGTGTGTGTGTGTGTGTGTGTGTGTGTGTGTGTGTGTGTGTGTGTGTGTGTGTGTGTGTGTGTGTGTGTGTGTATGTGCATGTGCGTGTGCGTGTATATATCTATAACAACACAACTTTCAGTCTTTTATATGCATTACATAAACACACACACACACACATCTTGTTATTCGTCTTATTCTTACCTGCTAAGGAAAACAGCTGACTGCATCTGGAAAAATTTCTGTCTGGTGGTCTCATCTGTGGTGATGGAGAGTACCTGAGTCTTCAGAACCTTGTCTACCACTGAAAGGGCCTTTTGATATTCGTTTGCTGCCTGAGGAATATTTGTATTAGTTACTAACAAATAATATCCAAAGTATATTTATTTTTAAAGAATGTAATCACTAGTTTTCAGCGTTATTCTTACCTCCATGTATCGGCCATTTTCCATGTACGCCCGAGCCTTTTTGCCACGACTGAAGACTTCTTTGCAGCAACATTCAAACTCCCCTGGCGTGATCACAGCCTCTTGGGTGGTGGCCTGGCCTGGCCTCCTTGGTACTACTGCTGATGTTGCAGCTTCACTTCTGGACTCAGTTTGGTTCGCCGAATTAGCTTGATTGTTATTGTGTATTGAATTCGGCTGGGAGGATCTTCTCTGGGAGGCAGTCGGAGGCAGAGGCGGTGGCTGTGATGGCAGTGGAGGAAGAACAAATGTCCCGAGGCGTCTATGGCTTCTGGGCTGCGGTCTAGCCTCTTGATTAGTCCCTGAGGTTGGTGTGGAACACGACAACGGGCGCGATGCCGTGCCATTTGAATCCGACACAGGAGACACGCCAGGGGTAGGTTGCTGGTCCTCTGGAGTCCTGTTCGGTTCATTTCCTCCACGTCTTGATTCATGGTGGCGAGGGGGAGTTACGTTTGATGAACGAATAACCTCTGTTGGCGCAGGATTTTCAAAAGTTCTCCGAAGAGAGGGTCTTGGAGGTTGGGGTGGCGTAGAAGCTGGACGAACCACGCGGCGATTGGAAGGAGTACTTTCAGGACTGGTGTAGATGAAGGTTCTAGGAGGTTTAGGAGGTGGACTTATCATTTCTGCAGCCAAGGACTCGTTTTCAGGGGGGCTGTTTTTCGCATTGGCATCGGGTAACTTCCCTTGACTAGAAAGACTTCTTGTAATAATTTCTTTAGTCCCACTCGTCTGACCACCCAACTCTTCCTTCTTTGCTTCTTGCTGCAGAGTTCCCCCATCTTGTGTTGGGTTCCCTGTTGAGGCATTGTTTATGAATTTAGTTCTAGGAAGAGGCACAGGCGTTTTCGGCCCCTGTGCAGATGAGGGCTTAATCCAAGTTGTTCTCATGTTTTATGAAGCTTTTTTCCCAACACACACTGTGACACCCCCTAGACTATACTTAAGAACCGCCCATTGTAATCCATACAACAGAGCTATCAGAGAAGAGAGAGTGCAGGAACAATGTCCTAGTGAATGGGCTACCTATGTCACCATCGACCTGTATAGCGAACACTTCACAAAAAGTCTCCAAACAGAACTGATAGAGGGAGAGAAACTGACGACACGGGCCCAACACTGAGGTCTTTAGAGATAAAGTTCTCCATGGTTACAGATAAGCGGGACTTATCGGATAGTTCTGTAATCTCAAACATCGAGATGATAGATGTGAGCGTGTAAAGGCGAATGCTACGTTCCATTCTGATTTAGATTAACCTTAAGCTGTATGTGCATTGTAGACTGTCGGCGCCAAACCAAAAATTACGTGTTCGTTAGTCAGTGTGTATCGCGTTGTCACCTGAAGAAGTTTACAGCGTTATAACCAACAGTTAGTTGATAACATGTCGATCCCCGATATATTTAATTTCTGCTTGTCTTCTAAACAAAAGTCAGCACAGTAATAACTTCCTATGAAAGGTAACTCGCATTAGCAAAAGCTAATAGTAGTGAACTGCAGTGCAGACACGCAAATAGTAATACTAAATTACGAATAGAATAATTAATTATTCCGATTGTCAGGCATTTTTTTTTCGTCTTGCATAATCAGACATTCTTGTCTGTTTAGCAAAGAGGATGGTACTTATGAAGGCTAAAGTCTACTAACGTGAGCGCTTATCTGTTTTTACCTGCAAACAATTTAATAAAGTGGTCTTCATGATTATCTTATATGCAGCGAAATGCATGGTCTGTTTTTGAGAAATATATAAGTTTACTTACTATATATGGTTTCACAGCTGCACGTAACTTTTCTATGGATTTTTTTTTGTATATACCGAACACTAATCTCGAACTGATAAGACTAAGGTTATCACAGTTTATCTTCCCCACGCTGTATACACGGATGCATGTTTTTCATATAGATTTTTTTTCCTTCTCTTTTATCAGAAAAAAATATTTTGTTTATTGTTTGTTATCATCGTCATTATGTTTTTTGGTCATCGTTAGAATTTATTATTGTTGGAATTCATTAAGACTAATATTACTATTACCATTGAAATAATCATTCACAGATTTATCAGTTTCAAAATCATACTAATAACAACAATACTGTTATTGTGAGTTATGTGGATAATGATGATATTAATAAAAACAACAATGTTTATGATATTAAGAGAATGGTAATAATAAACGTAGTGTCAAATATAAAATGATGACAGTGATGATAATAAATATAAAGTATCCAGTAATAATGTTGATAATATCAATACTAACTTCAGTAATGATGAGGATGATGATACTACTACTAATAGTGATAATGATAATACTAATAATGAAATAATGATAAAAAATGAGTTGAATTCCTTTTACCTCTTACAGGATGATGTCTATTTCATAATTTTCTAAAAGTTTCTAATTGTTCTCAGAACATGCAAAACCCACTGCTCTTTATGGATATGGCATTACCTATGACACACATGTTGAAGAACTCCCAAGGGATTAAAACCCGTTCTTTACATCCATTCAGCAAAGTTATATGGATTCCTTTTTTATAGAAATATATATTTATTTGGCTAATTTTAACCATCATCAGTATCTCCATACCTATTTCATCTCTGTATATTTCAATAAGTTTGATTTACCCGTAGAAAGATTATCTTCGAACGGTATCCTGACGTAGGGGGTAATGAGTAAGTTCTTGACATGGATTAGGGGGATATCTAGAGCAGAAGACTTTGTTCAACTATCACATGGCTCGCTTTGTTTTAACTTCCGCATCGTCGAAGGATATACTGAATAATGTAGGTCATAGGTTATAATTGTTGCAGGGTAGTGGTTCTCAACCAGAAGTAAATTTACCCCCGATAGTAGAAAAAAAAATATATGGTAAGACTTAAATATGTCTAAAATTACGTGCAAGTGACGAAGCTTCTTGGTCAGCGTTTACTTGCACTTGGTTGCGTTAGCGTTTCATCTGGAAGCGTAAAGTACACATTTCTTCATTCAGAAATGAAGACAGATGTACATTTAGCGATTTCGTCACTAGATTTGGCGACTTGTGAGAGATTTTTGTGTATTTTTTTGGAAAAAGACAACAAAAACAAATGGACAGTGTGTTGTATATTTTATATCCGTTATCAGTGATTATTTTACGTAAAAACATAATAATACAAGTGATTGTTTATGCACACACACACACACACACACACACACACACACACACACACACACACACACACACACACACACACACACACACACATATATATGTGTGTGTGTGTTTGTATGTATATATGTATGTGTGTATATATACATACATATATACATATATATATATATATATATATATATATATATATATATATATATATATATATATATATATTTATATATATATATAATATATATATATATATATATATATATATATATATATATATTATATATATATATAATATATATATATATATATATATATATATATATATATATATATATATATATATATATATATATATATATATATATTACATACATATGTATATACATATATACATGTATGTATATTTACACATACATATATACATACAAACACACACACAAATACATATATATGTGTGTGTGTGTGCAGGGTCGGATTATCCTATAGGCTAGTATAGGTTGCAGCCTAGGGCTAGGTTATAAAAAATCGTGTTTTTTCCACTACGGTTGTGTTGAAATACAGTAAAATAGTGGTATTTAAAGAATATTTTTATTGACAAACAAAAGATAGCTATGCTAGTTTATTTAAAGAATTTGCAATAAGTTTACTTCAAGCTATGTAAATGTCGCTAAAAGATATCACAAGTAAAAAATATTCTGAGGGGGCCCCATAATTTCATTAGCCTAGAAAGGTCATAATCCGGCCCAGTGTGTGATATATATATATATATATATATATATATATATATATATATATATATATATATATATATATATATATATATATATATATATATGTATATATATATATATATATATATTTATACATGTATATATATATATATATATATATATATATATATATATATATATATATATATATATATATATATATATATATATATACTGTGTAGGAGATACGAGCTGAAAGAGTTTAAAGATTACAAGTTGTGCCTACATAAGGTGGTAATTAGCAACACAAGGTTTGAAGTCGAGGAGGAAATTTAGGTCGGTTGGGCGGAGATAGATACAGTGAGAGAGAAAGCACAAAATGTATTTGGCATGACATCTGGGCGAAGGAAAGAAGACAAAGAGACTTGGTGGTGGAATGAAGAAATGCAGATAGAATGAATAGAAATAAACACGCGGTAAAGAACTGGGGCAAACAAGGGGACGATGAAAGCTATCAGGAGTATGCAGATATGTGCAGTAGGGCAAAGAAGACAGTTGCAAAGGCAAAAGAAAATGCGTATGAGAAGGTATATGAGAAGTTGGACACTAAGGAAGGGGAGAAAGATCTCTATAGACTGGCCAGACAAAGAGACAGAAATGGGAGAGATGTGCAGAAGGGAAAAGAAGAGAAATGTGAAAACACTCATCCATTGTGCAAAAAGTTAGGCTATGAGAAAGATGAAAGGAGGTAAAGCTGTAGGTCCAGATAACATCCCGTTCTGAGCATGGAGGTGCTAAGGAGAGATGGCAGTGGCGTGGTTAACCAAACTGTTCAACATGATTCTGTGGGGTAGAAAATGCCAGAATAATGGAGAAAAAGTATCTTGGTCCCGATTTTCAAAACCAAGGGTGATGTGCAATACTGAAGCAATTACAGAGGAAAAAAAATAGTCACGCAATGAAGATTTGGGAAAGAGTGGCGGAAGCGAGAATGAGGAGAACACTAGAGATCTGTGATGAACAGTTTGGATTTATACCAGGTAGAAGCACGACAGATGCACTATTCGCCTTGAGAATGGTAATGGAAAAATTCAGGGAAGGCCAGAAAGGGTTGCATTACGTTTTTATAGACTAAGAGAAAGGTTATGGCAGAGTCCTAGAGATGAATTATGGTATTGCATGAGAATTTGCAGAGAAGTACGAGAACGTGGTGAAGGATATGTATGAACAAGGCATAACATCAATAAGGTGGGTGGCAGCTTTACACCAAGGAGCAGCTCTGAGCCCTTTCTTGTTTGATTTAGTGATGGATAGACTGACTGATGAACTATGATGTTTGCAGATGATGTGGCGTTATGCTGCTGGGAAGAGGCTGAGGCACAGCTACAGAGAGATGGAGAGATGCTTTGCAGAGGAGGAGTATGAAAATGAGTAGGGCCAAAACTGAGTACTCGTGCCTCAGAAGTGATGGCGAGGATACAATTAGGCTGCAAGGGGTAGAGGTAGCAGAAGTTGGTGACTTTTGGTATTTGAGGTCGACTGTCCAGAGAAATGGAGATTGTAGAAGAGAAGGAAAGAAAAGACTGCAGACCGAATGGATGGAGAAAGGTCACAGTGATATCCGACAGAAGGGTGTCTGCAAAGACTTAAAGGAAGGTCTTCAAGACTGTGATGAGGCCGGCTATGTCTGACAAAAAGACAAGAAGATGAGCTAGAAACCGCTGAAATTAAAATGTTGTATTTTTCGTTAGGTGTGACGAAAATGGAGATACATTTATATATATATATATATATATATATATATATATATATATATATATATATATATATATATATATATATATATATATACATATATATAATATATATATATATATATAATATATATATATATATATATATATATATATATATATATATATATATATATATAATATATATATAATATATATAATATAATTATATATAAATATATATATACATATATATAATATATATATATATATATATATATATATATATATATATATATATATATATATATTTATATATATATATATATATATATATATATATATATATATATATATGTATATATAAATATATATATATATATATATATATATATATATATATATATATATATATATATATATATGTGTGTGTGTGTGTGTGTGTGTGTGTGTGTGTGTGTGTGTGTGTGTGTATGTGTATATACATATATGTGTGTGTGTGTATGTGTGTGTGTGTGTGTGTGTGT